CCCCCACCCCCCGCGCCCCTTGAGGCTCCTCCTCCCCTCCCCTCCCGCCCGCGCCCGCGGGCCCAGACTCCGAGCCCCGGGCGGCGCCGTCGGCCGCCGTGAGCCGGGCGCGTGCCCTTCCCGGCGCGCTCGGACCCCGGCGGGGCGCACGCGGCCGCCCGCGCCCCCCCAACCTGCCCCGGCCCGCCTTCCTCACCCGCCGCCGCCGCCGTCTCCTCGTTCTCGTCCCCGCGCGCAGCGCGCGCACCCCCGCCGCCGCCGCCGCCGCCGCTGCGCTGACCCGGCCGGCCGGCCCGCTGGACCCCGCCGGGGCGGAGGAAGCGCCGCAGCGCCGGCCGCCAGGGGGCAGCGTCGCTCGCCGCCTCTTAAAGGCGCCGCGCCCTCCCGGCCTGGCTGTTTTGCGGCTTGTTTGCGTCGGGGCTCAGGCGAGTGAGCTTCGGGACGGAGGGCGCGGGACTGGGTGTAGGGCGGCCATTGCCAAGGGGTTGTTGCTCTTTAAAGGGGCAAAAGGAGTCATGCTGTGGGCGTTTTTGCTTGTCCTCTGGGAGTTTCTTAAATCAAAAGCATCTCTGTACCCCCAGCAGTGTTCAGCGCCCCCCCCCACCCTGGGTAATTCACTGGAACTGCAGCGAGGGGCGGATACGGACATTCAATGAGATCATCTCTCTTCCCTTGAGGAGACAGACCCCTGCCCAGGATGGGGGGGGGGGTGCTCCGTGGGGTGGTGACCTTAACACCCAGGGTCTTCTCAGACTTAGGATGTTGACTTCTCTGGATCCCCTTCAACTGAGTGGGGACGGGGCGGGAACTAGAAGCATCTAAAATGAGGGTGGAACACTCCCAGGAGACCCATTGCTTTCGGAGTGCAAGCCGGCGGTAGCCTCAGTGCCTTTGATTCACTAAACCCAGCCCTGCCCTGCCCTGCCCTGCCCTGCCCTGCCCTGTGGGGCAGTTGGGGAGCGTCCAGCCTTCAAAGAGCTCCGGGTTTGGGAGGAGAAGACATCTCTCCTCAGGCTCAGGCAGGAAAAAATGAGTGAGGGGGCGGGGCTCAAAAGTTTCAGGGGAGACGTTTAAGCTGGCCTTGGAAAATAAGGAAGATTTTGGTAGGCCTAAGAAGGGAGAATAGCTAGAACTGAGGTAGGGAGAAAGAACCAAGTTGTTAGGAATGGCGGACTCTCCTTGAGCAAACTTGGGCTCATGGTTTAAGGCCCAGACCTAGGGGCCTGCCTTCTTCCCCTAATTACAACCCCCCACCCACCCACCCCTCTTCCAGCTGGTCTTCCAGGTTGCAACTAGGAGAGGCTTGTCCACATTGGGACTTCGGGAGTGATCACACGTGACCACTACCTGCACCGCTCACCTCGCCCGCGCACTTGCTGTGTGACCTTGCAGTCCCCTGAGCCTCTCTGGGCCTCCAGGGCTCCATCTTACGTCAAGAGATAAAACCTGCTTCATGAGAGCACTTGAAACTGCAACAGTGCAGTGGCTGTGAGTCTAAAATGTGTGATGTTGTGGGGCGTGGGGAGACAGAGACATGCTGAAAGACCTGGCCTGGGGGTCCTGGTTCAGCTCCCCTTGGTTTGGGCAAGGGGCCCAAGCTCCCCACCATAGCCCTCTGAGTTTCAAGGTGGGGAAAGACATGCTTGCCTTTAAGACTGCAGTGAGGATGAGAACAGGGCGATGGGCTGGTCCTCGGCAGGCCTTCAGAAATGGTGCTTGGGACTGACTCATCCAGGGACTCAACTTGAGGCCCAGTTAAGAGCCCGTAGGTACATAATGGCTTCTTATAAACTCTAGCTCTGTGATTTGCCCCAACAGTTAAGAGCCACTAATTAGTCCATCTTGCTTTCTTATTCATGAAAAAGTGGGCCCAGAGAGGGAAGGGGATTTGCCCGACGTCACTGAGCAAGTAAGTGGGAAAGCTGGGCCCAGCAATGCAGGGCCAAGGGGCCTCCCCCCTCACCTCAGCTCACCGTCCTTCTGGAGGTAGGAGGGTGAGGGGGACAGGTTCTGAGAAGTGGATCACTGCCGGAGGTGTAGCCGGATCCTCCCTATGCGCTGGTGGGACCAGAGAGCCACCCACATTTCTCTGGACCCATGGGCAGGCACTGGCCTCAATCCTCCTCTCCATTAAGAATGGGAACTTCTATGGTTTTTATCTGTTTTAAGTTCTTGGTCATCCCATGGAAGGGTGGGGCTCTAGGGCTAGAACCATCCTGCAGAGCTGTCCCACTTGGACCAAAGGAGTGAACCATTTTGCTTATCCCATTCCAGCCCAATTGATCAGTCTTTGGTTGTGAACTGACCCCAGGGAGGGGCATGACCTTGGGGCAAATATTTCTCAATTTACTACTTGCTTCACCTCTTTGAGAAACCACAAAGTCTATCAACCCTTCCCTCCTTGTCTGTCTCTTGTACTCCCAGCGAGTCCGTTCTCCACTCTTCAGCCAGAACAGGATTCAGAAAGCAAATCCCCTGTACTTGGAATAAAGCCAAAAGTCCTTGACAAGACTACTGCCTCCCAGCCCCATCTCCCACCGAGTGCCCCTCACCCTGCTCCCACCACCCTAGCCTCTGTGATGTCTGTTGTCCCTAGGGCCCTTACATTCAGTCCATTTTTCTGGTATGTTCTTCCCTCTTTTTGTTTATTAACTCATCCACCAGCTCCCAGCCCAGGGGTCCCTTGCTGGCATCTCAACCGTCTAGTTCCCTACACCTTCAATGACCAGGATGCTAATCACACTTGGACTCTTACTTGACTAATGTTTGTCCACCACTAACCGTGAGCCCCTCGAGGGCAGGAACTGTGTTTTTGTCTTCTCACCACTGTACGCATCTGATAACACAAGAGTATATCCTACTGGCTGAGAGTCTGGGTTTTGTTTGGATTCAGATGAAGCCAAGTTGCTTCTAACAGTGCCTTGCACAGAAGTGCTCACAAAAGTGATCAATAGGGGAGCCTGGGTGGCTCAGTCAGTTAAGCGGCTGACCAGCTCCAGCCATGATCCCAGGGTCCTGGGATTGAACCCCACGTGGGGCTCCCCGCTCAGCGTCTGCTTCTCCCTCTGCCTCTCCCCCGTTCATGTGCACAGTCTTTCTCTCGCAGATAAATAAATAAATAAATAAATAAGTGATAGAATAAATTAGTGAGGTTAGTCCCCCCTTGCGGTCCCTGACCTCTCTTGAGGTAAGAGGCAAAAGTGGGAAAACTCCAGAACCGGAACCTAGAGACATCTACATTCTCCCTGGGAGGCAGATGGACCATTAAGGGATTAAATGGTCTATTGTGTGTCCATGGCCTGGGGCCATCTGGGAGAGGATTATTCCAAAGCTCAAAGAGGAGCTGCAGTAGAGGGAGGGCCTTCGGGAGGAAGGGCACTGCCAAGGGGTATAAGTCGGCCACCTGGGAAACCCCCCCTCATCCCGGTCCTTTCTCCCGGGGGAGATGCAGGCTTTGGGAGGTGAGACAGTGAAGTGATTTGAGACTTCAGATCTAGGATACGGCTGATGCATTGAGCAATCTTCTTAACCTCTCTGAGCCTGGTGTACCTCATCTGAGAACCATAAGATGGTATCTCTTAGGGGCGCCTGGGTGGCTCAGTCGTTAAGCGTCTGCCTTCGGCTCAGGTCATGATCCCAGGGTCCTGGGATCGAGCCCCGCATCAGGTTCCCTGCTCAGTGGGAAGCCTGCTTCTCCCTCTCCCACTCCCCCTGCTTGCGTTCCCTCTCTCGCTGTGTCTCTCTCTGTCAAATAAATGAATAAAGTCTGTTAAAAAAAAAATAGTTTAAAAGATGGTATCTATTAGTAGGAGACTGGTTAAGAAAGTCCTGGTTATACCCATTCTGCACCCGTTTGGCACAAGTAATTAAATACGCTAGTTCAAGATGCAGCCAGCCTGGTGTGATCATTTATTATCTGTGACTGTGGGCAAATTAATAAATCTGAGCCTCAGTTTTATAATCTATTAAATGGGAAACCAAAGATAAATAATTTAAAAATAAAATAAAATAAAGGGTGCCTGGGTGGCTCAGTTGGTTAAGCGTTGACTGTGGGTTCAGGTCAGGATCTCAGTGTTGTGAGATCAAGCCCCCTATCTGGCTCGGTGCTCAGCGGGGAGTCTGCTTGAGATTCTCTCCCTCTGCCCCTCCCCCCCATACATGCATGCTCGCGCGTGCTCTCTCTCTCTCATAAAGAAAACCTTTAAAAATAAAATAAATGGGAGTGACGAGTTCAACCCCCACGTTGGGTGTGGAACCTACTTAATTAAAATCATCATCATCATGAAATAGAATAATATCAGTTCATTCATTCATTCACGAAATATTTATTAAGTACCTACTGTGTGTCAGGCGCTATTCTAGACACTAGGGATACCAGAGTGATAAAAACTGCAAAATCTCTATCCTCACGGAGCTTATATTCTCCTGAGGTGGACAAAGAATATGCAAAATAAGTAAATAAATTGTGTAGTATATTGCACAAGTGATGCATGCTACGGACAAACAATAAGTCCTGCTCAGGGAGACAGGAAATGGTGGATTGTGATCTTAATTGAGTGGTCATCCCACTGGAAGGCAATACTTGAGCAAAAACGTGACAAAGGTGAGCAGCCAAGTGGTGCAGATATCTGGGGTAAGGGCGCTCAGGTAGAGGAACAGCAAATGCCCTAACAGGCTCGGGCCTGGGTGTTGACAAGGGGCAGTCGGGAGGCCAGTCTGGCTGGAGGAAAATGAGCAAAGGAGCAGGTAAGAGGAAAACCCAGAGAGAGACCAGCCAGATCACGCAGGGCTCCCGGGCCACACCATGTGGGCCGACTACTCCAAACAAGACCTGTCTTGTTCAAGCTCCTTCCTTGAAGGAGCACGGGACCTTGTCTGGTTCCCCCGGGACGCTGCTGTGTGGGGCAGTAAGGATGGCGAGGAGAGTCTCAGACCAGTTAAGATTCATTTGCGGGGCGCCTGGGTGGCTCAGTCATTAAGCGTCTGCCTTCGGCTCAGGTCATGATCCCAGGGTCCTGGGATGGAGTCCCACATCGGGCTCCCTGCTCAGCGAGGAGCCTGCTTCTCCCTCTCCCTCTGCTGTTCCCCGCTTCTTGTGCTCACTCTCTGTCACATAAATAAATAAAATCTTTAAAAAAAAAAAAAAAGATTCATTTGCAATACTCTAGGCAGGGAAGGATGGTGGCTCAGACCCGGGTGGTAGCAGTGGAGGTGGTAAGGAGTGGTCACTTTC